TATCTTCAGTTGATAGAGTTTACTTATAATAATAGTTACCACTCTAGTATCAAAATGGAACCGTTCGAAGCTTTGTATGGTCGGAGGTGTAGGACTCCGTTGTATTGGTATGAATCGGGGGAGAGTGTGGTACTTGGACCGGAGATTGTTCGGGAGACGACTGAGAATGTGAAGTTAATTTGGGAAAAGATGAAAGCTTCACAGAGTAGGCAGAAAAGTTATCATGATAAGCGCAGAAAGGATTTAGAATTTGAAGCTGGAGATCATGTGTTTTTGAGAGTCACGCCTGTGACTGGTGTTGGTAGAGCTTTGAAATTTAAGAAGCTTACCGCTCGTTTCATTGGTCTGTACCAGATCTCGGACAGAGTTGGAAAGGTTGCATATCGAGTGGCGTTGCCGCCTAATTTGTCGAATCTGCACGATGTATTTCATGTGTCATAGCTCCGAAAGTATATCTCAGATCTGTCGCATATCATTCCTATGGACGATGTGCAAGTACGTGACAATCTTACAGTGGAGACGATGCCGGTAAGAATTGATGATCGGGAGGTGAAGACGTTAAGAGGAAAATAGATTGCTTTAGTGAAAGTGGTCTGGTTGGGAGCTGCTGGCGAAAGCTTGACGTGGGAACTGGAAAGCAAGATGCGAGAGTCTTACCCCGAGCTGTTTGATCGAGGTAATTTCGAGGACGAAATTCTTTTAAGTTTGGGGGAGTTGTAATGCCCATTCATTTTTTAAAGTATTATTTATGAATTGTTGGTGTGTCTTTATGTGGGAGTGTGTCTGAGAGCGTTGGTGAGTGTCCTTAAAGTATAAGAAATCATTTAATAAATATGGAGTTTAATAATAATATAATATAATTAATGATGATGATAATTTAATAATTAATAGTAATATTATTATTATTATTATTATTAGTTGTAATATTAGTGGATGGAATAAGTGAAATAGGGGAGTTATTAGAGAGGTTGTGGGAGAAAAAGGGGAGAAACACGATAAACTGCTTAGAAACAAAATTTAGGAAAAAATGTTGAGGAGAAGGGAAAGAGGAAAAAGGAACGTAGCTGTGGAGAAATTGAGAACAGAGGAATTAACCGCCGGAGAGAATTCAAGGTATTTGCAGAAGAGTCACCGGAGAGCAAACCGGAACCGGGAGTTTAGAGTTGTCCTCAATCTAAAGGTAAGGGTGTGGTTCAATTCTATAACTGTGGGTATGATCAATTTCATGAAAGGAATTGAATCATGGGGTTAGTTCCCGTAGGTTGAGAAATATTAAGGGTTAATGTTTGTCTGTGCCTGAATTAGTGTTTATGTCATTAGTTCTACGTAATAATATTGGGAAACGGCGCCGACACGTGCTAATTTCCCATTTGTTGAGAGGGTTGTTATGGTGTCCTCATTTGGTTATATTGTGTTGAATGTTGTGGTTGCATGATTCGTATGAAATTGTGATGCTCCGGTTATGGACAATTTGGTTGTAGACTTAATGCCTTGTTGAGTGGTTGTTGTTGTTGGGTTGTAGTCCATAATAGATGCATCTCATATCATATCATCCTGGTTGGCCTGTATTGGCGTTGGTTGTGCCTGTATTGGCAGCCTATAATGGCAATTAAATTGGTTGTGGAGTGCTGCTCCAAATTGGTACCACATGCATATGCATAGTTGAGTCGTATAGTGTAGCGTCATTATGTGTTTGCAAGTAATGATGAGTTGCTGAATTTTTCCTGCTAATTGTTGCATATATATGAATGATGAATTTCCTGGTAGTTCGTGGTGATAATATTTGGAGAACTGCGAGAATCTTAATTGCTGTGATATAATCCTGACATGACTTTTATCATGTCTTATGTTATAATTTTGATATCTCACCCTTTACGTTGTATGTTACCTCAGTTGGTGGTAATTTGCAGGTAACTCAGATTAGAGTGTCGTTGTTCGTTTAAGGTCGTTGGTTGCTCTGATACATAGCACTCTTGGGGGGATGAACGCGTAATGTTATTGTTTTTAATTGTTTCTGTTGTTGCTGAATTTTTATTAAGTACTTTTCTGCAAATTGATTGCTTCTGATAGTACCAAATGTTGGTTGTATGCACTAGACCGATGAATCAGTAGTAATGATTTCGTGACCGAGAACTAGTTGTTTTGTGATTTGATGCAAGATAATTACTTGCTGAATTTTAATGAAATTCAGTTGCAGACTTTTCTGGTCTTGCTTTGGTTATTATAAATGTTGGAAGTGTATTAAATTCCGCTGCAAAATAACAAGTTGTCGTGTAATTAAGATCGTAACCAAGTTGTCGTTATTTTGTTCATCCGAATTTGTGCTATGTATGTTATTAAATGCTTTGTTGCAGGTGTATGTTATCTGTTAAGGTGAAAATGTGACACATCTGATGCGTCCCAGAATTTGTGAGTGTGACGGTCGTCACCACTCTATGGCGCTCGTCATGACTGTCACAGTCGTGACATCCATGACGGTCGTCATGACCACCACGGTCGTGACAGTTCCATTACGACCGTCATGTGGCCCTTTTTCGTGCACTCTGATTGTTGTTTTCTTATTTATCTGTTGGGTTAGAATGAGGTGTTACAATAAACACCCTTTAGATAAATAACAAGCATGGATCCCGTCAAGTACGACGCACGTGAGGGGTGCTAATACCTTCCCCTTGCGTAACTGACTCCCGAACCCAAGATTTGGTTGCGATGACCTGTCTTCTCCCATTTTGTTAGGTTTTCTCTGATCGTTTTCTTTCCCTCTTTTGGGATAAATAACAAACGGTGGCGACTCTTTTGTCTTTGTCGGCCTCTCTTCGCAGCGATACGACAACTATTAACCTACCAATTCACCTTTATCAACAAGAAGAAAAACAAGTAAACCTAAGAGGTTTCCATTGAGTACAACGGACGTGAGGGGTGCTAATACCTTCCCCTTGCGTTACCGACTCCCGAACCCAGAACTTGGTTGCGACAACCCTGTTCCTATCCTTTCGTTTTAAGAGGTTTTCTCGATATTTTCCTCTCCCGTTTATTCAGGATAAATAAAGTTCGGTGGCGACTTTGTCGAACCGCATTTTCGTGCCTTTCGCGCGAGGGCCGTTTCTCCGAAATGTCTCCGTGATTTTTCGAGGTGCGACAACTTGCAATACCATAGATACTACAGTAACTATCGAAAACTTCATTGTAGAACTCAAGGCCATTATTGATTTTCAACCTCTTGACCTTCTTGCCAGTATGATTTTCGACCAGAGTCTTCCAACTTTTGAAATTCTTAAAAGTTTCATCCTTAGTCTTTTGGATGAATACCCATAACTTTCTAGAATAATCATTAACTATGGATAGAAAATACCTTGCACTTGAATCTGAAGGACTCCTTGCAGGGTCTCCAAGATTAACATGAATGTAACAAGGGATCCATGTATTTTGTTTACCTTTGATAAACTACACTCTGTAGGATTTACCAAACACACAAGGTTCACGAAACTTCAGCTTTTCGACTTTGTCACCACCTAGATTTTGTTTTCCCAGTTCGACAAGACCCCTTTCACTAACATGACACAATCTCATGTGACATAGTTATGTCTTCGACACAAGTTTCGTGGAGACAAAATTTGCTGATCCACTTACAACCTCAGACTCAAGGGTATACAAGCCTTATTTCTTCACGCCTCTCAAGAATTTCTTTGACCTCTTTATGACTTTAATGATACCATGCTCTCATTTGAAAATATATCATTTCTTGTTGAATTCACTAAGAGAAATTAAATTTCTCTTCAGATCTGGTACATACCTGACACCAGTCAACAATTTTATTGACTCATCATGGAGCTTGAATCTTACAGATCCTCCAATACATGCACTTTTGCAGGCTTTGTTGTTTCCCAACAACACTGATTCACCTTCTTGATCACATAATTTCTCAAACACGTATTTGTTTGGAGTCATATGTCAAATGCACCCTAAATCCATAATCTATTGCTCGCTAGAGTCGCTGCTTGAAACCACAAGAACATCAAATGATTTAAAATTATCTTGCACAATAGTTGTGTTGTCATTATCCTTCATTGACGACATCTTCATCCACGCTCACTGCACTAATTTGTTGTGACAAACGCCACACCAGGAATGAATAAAAAGCACGAGAAATATTGAATTTCTTGAACAAACACAAGACACCTTTTTAGTTTTACAAAAAGAGAGAAAGGGAGAGAAGAAGAATAAGAATTTGTTAAAACCATTTTTCTATTCACTTTTTCAATAGGGTAAAAGGTTACAAGCGAATAACAACAACTAACACTGAACCATCTCTCAACATCATGAAACAACAACATATTTATAGACTCTAAACAAACTTAAACACTAAGCTAACTTAAATACTAAGCTAATTTAAACACTAAACTAACTTAAATAATAAATTAATTTATATAATTAAATATTAAAATAGATTTCAATTACAACATTCACAACTCTATCAAAATATAAAATTATTCTTATCCAACCTAAAATTTAATTCAAAATATCACATTAGTTTCATTTCTTGATATCCAAAAATAGTTTTAGTTTTGAAGATGTAAAAAATGTATCTTCAAAACCATGCATCATGATCGATGGAACATCGATTATTTAATGAGTTATCTATTCAATCACTCACTTAATTTTTATGACACACGATGTTTTTTAATTATCGATAACAATTACTAAAATACTACTAATAATAAAATAATAATAATAGAACAATAATAATGCTGTGTCTCAGAGATATCATAATCACCATCTCCTCACGAGATTCTGCTCCTGTTTTAGGCACTCCTCAACTCGCTCCGAGTTGACTCATTCCCTTCCTCTCATTTCAAGATCAACCACCGCCACCGTACTCCGCCGTTGATAATCCCCAATCACCTTCTCCGTCAATGCAAAACTCGCCGTCGATTATAGTCGGCTCATCCTCTCCCATATCGCGGGAATAACCTTCCTTTTGACTTCGCTTTTCAGCGAATTCGATGGCTCTCTTTCGCTCTCTCATCCTCCTCGCCGCAATCTGTTATTGTCTCCTCCCAATCGCAGCCAGCGACGGCGACACCGATCCGATTTACAAGTAAGCTCTCTCTCTTCCATTTTTTCTACTTAACCAACAGAAAATAATCGGAGATTCTTCTGCAAATTTTTATCTAAGCGAATGATATGATTTTGGCTTATTACAGTTTGATTGTATAGGTGCCGTAAAATTTAGAAGTTGGATTTCTCTTTTTGATTCGTAAATTTTTAGGATATGATGATTTTTTAGTATGGACTTAGAGTTTTTAAGATTATGTTATATATGTATAGTCTTCGAAGGAAGTTTTTTATGAATATTAGTGTACGAAGGACAAACACCAGAATCACTACACGGACGCTACATTGAAACTGGCAATAAATTAACCGTAATTATATGTGTTGGTTTCGGTTTTTGATATTGACACGGACATGCCTTTTTTCCTAAATGTCGTGCTACAATGATCTTAGTTATCTCGAGGGATTAATATTCAAAGATTTACTTGGATTCCTTAGTTTAACAGGAATTTAGTACGTGGTTGGATTTGTGGTTAATTTCTAGGATTCGCATGCTTGCATCTAAGTGCAATCAATGATGATGCATTTTTTTTTGGTATGTTTAGGGGTTCGATGTCATATTTTTACTTTTAAGCATAGAGTGTGAATGTGAGATTAGAGTTTAATGAAATAATGGTTTCTTCTATTATGGTATTTGACTTGACTTGTCTTTAGTGAGCAATTTACTTAGCAATTTACTTTAGAGGGCATAATGAACAATCCCAATACTAAATTGTTGATGAATAAATCAATGGTTGATGTTATATACATATTCATAACAAGTCATGAATGTGTTGGAATATCAGTCATCAATGTATTAATCAACCGATGAGATTAATTTTTCTAATCTCTGAATTGAATTGCTCGCTTTTAGATGAACTAAATCTTGTATTATGTGGGTAGTTTGTAGTTAATTATTTTTCTTGGAGTTGCATTGCTTCGTGTAATTGCTTCTGATGATTTCTGGAAGTTATACGACTTGCTATTGATGCAGTGAACAGTATTTTTTTATCACGTCAAGTTTATAATGTGTGTGATGGGGATATATCTCTTTCCCTCTGTGTTTTCTTTTTGCGTGAATTTTAGATAATGGTAACTGTGACGATTGAGAGATGTCCGATGCCTTATTTTTGTATGGAACAATTTGTATTGTTCATAGCATTCATGTCATCTTTACTGATTACCGGAAGATATTACCGTCACACATTTTTTAGTTTGATCTTAGTTTGTGAATTTGAAATTTCATGCCAGCATGATTGGCAGTAGTTATGAGCCACAGCTTGTATATTATTAATGCAATGAATGCGTGGATCATTGCAATTGAAATTGCCAAGAAAGCAGTTGGGGGCATTTATGATTCATTACTATTTTTTGGCTAGCATGGTTGACTATGTACAATGTTGACTTGTTGCCATGTTTTTTACCTTCATTTTTGTAGCATTATGTGCCTTTATTTTTCTTAAATATTTGTTTAGGCGTACTTTTACTCCAACATAAACACATTTTTAGGCCATATCTCATTCATCGTGGGCCTCCACAATTTTCTAGAAGTATTGAGTTAGTTTTTTTTAACAAAGTGTAAAAGGTTTAGATGATTTAGTGCATTTTTTAATTTACTATTGCAATATTACCAATGTCTGTTTTCTCTTTGATAAATCCAATTTTCATGACAATGCAATCAATAAAGAGTGAACTTCTCATAAGATAAGATATCACAGCTTTGGATTTTATAGTTAACTTTGATGGCACGTCTAGTTGGACTCCTTGCTTGATTAACTCTTGAACTGCGGTGTGCCCCACAACTATTTATGTATAATAATTGTTGGCATACTTAGTTTTTTTCTCTTTATAATAATTAGTTTCACACCATAACTGTTTTATCCTGAGCAAATTTTAGATTACAAAAATAGATAGTCTTGTATACTTTAAGGTTATACGGGATATCAATTTCCCCAAAATTGGTTGCATTGGAACCTCTACTGAAAAACAAAAACTTGAATTTAATGAGGATTTGATGGCAACCTTAGTCTCGATGCTATGCCCAAATATATATACTTGTTGAAATATAAGAGGCTTAGAAACATATGAATAAATTGTGTGTTTTGAAAAGAACTACGGAGACATTATTCTGTATATAAATATTCTTAACACTATATTTACACGTATCAACACTCCCCCTCAAGTTTGAGCATATAAGTCAAATCCACCAAGCTTGTTACATATATAATTAGTTCTGGAACTTCACAGGGATTTTATAAACACATCTGCCAATTGATCATTAGAGTTGACAAAGCTTGTGACATTGTCACCTGACTCGATCTTCTCTCTGACAAAGTGACAGTCTATCTCAATATGTTTGGTTCTCTCATGAAAGACTAGATTTGAAGCAATATGCAATGCAGCTGGATTATCACAAATAAGTGTCATTGTTCTTGCTTCTTCAATTTGAAGTTCCTTGAGCAACTGTTTTAACCAAATAAGTTCACATGTTGCCTTTGCCATGACCCTATACTCTGCCTCGACGCTTGATCTTGCAACAACGTTTTGTTTCTTACTCTTTCAGAATATAAGATTTCCTCCAACAAGTACACAATACCTAGAAGTAGATCGTCTATCAATGGGTGACCCTGCCCAATCAGCATCTGAGTATCCAACTATCTGAGTATGTTCTTTATTTTCATATACTAGACCTTTTCCTGGAGCACATTTGATGTATCTCAGAATACGAATAACAACATTCATGTGTTCCTGACAGGGGGAACTTAAGAACTGGCTTACCACACTGACTGCAAAAGAAATGGTCGGACGAGTGACAGTGAGATAGTTCAACTTTCCAACCAATATCCTATACCTTCCTGAGTCAGATAGAGGCTTCCCTTGATTGGGTAGTAGTTTGACACTTGGATCCATAGGAGTATCAGCTGGTTTAGCATTCAACAAACCTGTTTCTTTCAAAATATCCATAGCATATTTTCGCTGAGAAATCACCAAACCATCTTTAGATTGGGCTACCTTAATACTCAAGAAATAATGGAGTTTACCAAGATATTTTGTTTGAAATTGATTCGAGAGATGTTTTAACTGGAGTATTCCCTGTTAATCATTATCAGTTATGACAATATCATCTACATACACAATAAGATAAATACACCCTTGGGCTGAGTGACGATAAAAAACAGAATGGTCATCTTCACTATGGACCATACCAAACTGTTGTACTACAGCGCTGAATCTGTCAAACCAAACTCTCAGAGATTGCTTAAGACCATAAAGAGACCTGTGTAGCCTACACACCATATTCGATGACTCCCCCTGAGCAATAAACCCAGGTGGTTGCTCCATATATACTTCCTCTTCAAGATCCCCGTGTAAAAAAAGCATTTTTAATGTCAGGTTGGCGAAGAGACCAATGTCGAATGGCTGCAATGGGTAGAAGAAGTCTAACAAATGCCATCTTGGCTACAGGCGAGAAGGTATCACTACAATCCAACCCAAAAATCTAAGTGTATCCTTTGGCTACCAAGCAAGTTTTAAATCGATCAATCTTACCATTGGGACCAACCTTTACTGTATAAAGCCAACGACAACATACTAAAGATTTTTCAAGAGGTAGAGGAACCAGTTTCCAGGTACCACTGTTTTGAAGAGCACGCATTTAATAAATCATTGCTTGCCTCCATTCAGGATGAGATAATGTTTCACCTGGATTTTTAGGAGTAGAAACAGAAGACAAAGAAGACAAACAAGTATACCCTTTACAACATTGTGTCTGAGGTTTGCTTTTGATAACTTCTCCATTTCCTTGGCATGGAGGCATTGTGGTATTTTAATATTTGAATATCAGGTGTTACGTGCTTACGCAATATCAATCACAACTTACGTTCAAAACTTCAAATAAGACCTTCTCATGGTTGTTTAAACTCTCGCGAACTCCCAAAATTGCAAGTTTTTCTAGGTATCAAAATCAAGTTAACACTTAACTCTTCAGTTATTGTAACTATTATTATTTTATTAGGAGGGGTTAGTGAAAAATTATTAGGAGCATTAGTGGAAAATTATTAAGAGCAGTTATCTTTTACTAATTATGTCTTTATGTTTAGAATAAATATGGCAAGATAGGGGGGCTCGATTATCACGGAATTTAAGGAAGGTGCAGACTCTTGAAGTTCTGCCATCTTATGCTGTAATTCAAAAAGATTTTTCCAATTTCCTATTCTATATCAGTTGGTTTCTGTCAACTGGGAGTGAAACACCAGAGGAATCGACACCATCATCAGGTTAGTTGGCGTACCTTTTGGCTTGCATTTATTTGGCATTTCAAGTGGGAATATCGGGACAAATTGCCTATTTCTTCTTACAAAGAAGGCCACACTGAAATTGAATCAGAGTCATTAACTGTTGAAGATTCACTAGATATTTAACAACAAGACATTAATCAAGTAAATTTAAATCCAACAATGATAGCAGCAAAGAAAGGTGGGGGAAAAATAGAGAAGGGGGCAAAAAATGTCCCATTATGGATTTGATGAAAGAGACCAAAACACATTTATGTAAATTTATGGGTTTTGATAGACACAGGTCTTGGATCAGAGCCGGACTATGATACCATCTTAAAATGTGTGGGTTGTAACTCATCCCTACAAAACCGGCCTGAAAGGTGAGGTCTGTCCATGTTTTTTAAACACTACACATGCCATATCTCTAAGCAATGTGTATCCATTAAAACCCAACAAAAATAGGTGTTGGAGACTACAATGAAGACACAATTAAGCCATTAGGGGCGGACCGCATTAAAGGTTGAAATTCTACAACTTTGATGGACATGGTGTGAGTATTGTGTTTGAATCAAGGGAGAACTCTGTCTTGAACAATTACAAGAGATAGATGGGCTTCACTCAAGTTGGATCCGCCACCACCAGCCGGCAGATCCAGACGGGTCCTTGGTGAAGGGTGGGTTGTCCTCTGGTATTGATGAAACCGACACTGTTAATGCCTACTACTGTCCTGCTATGTTTTTGGGCCTAACATACCACTTAAAACAAAGCGTATGAACCAGACAAAAGTTATCATGTTCACGCCTTGCTTTTTCACTCTACTTTAAGTTATGGGACTCTAATGAATCCTAATTTTATCCTTCACCTTGTCCTCAAGGTGAATCTTTTGAAGGGAGTATTGTTAGACCTTAAGAATTATTAGGAATCAAAATTGAATGTTATCATGTTCACGCCTTGCTCTGTCACTCTAAGTTATGAGACCCTAATGAATCCTTATTTTATCCTCCACCTTGTGCTCAAAGTGAATCTTTTGAGATGAGTATTGTTAGACCTTAAGAATTATAAGAAATCAAAATTGATTGTGGTTGTTCTGTTCTGTCAGGAAGTTACTTTTTTATTAGCCATTAGTGTTTTTAATATTAACATTTAGTAGCAGTTATTAAATATTTATTTGGGGAGTATGAATAAAATGAGGAAACCGTAGGTAAGATGGGTTATCCCAAAAAATTATAAGAGGTTATTTTGGAGGGAGAGACGAAGCTCTCGAATTTCTTTAAAACTCGATGTAATAACTATTAAATTTGCTTGTTTGGTTACAATTTCTATCAAATGCAATAGGATTTCATGTGTAAACATGCTTAAACAAGTCTACAACATAGTGGTTATGTTCCCCAAGCATGCCTAAACTGACAGGGATTTAGTGTTTTCTAAAAGATTCAAAATGCAACAGGAAAACTTAAGCTCCTTAATGTGTAACATTTACCTCACAGGTACAAAATAGAACAGAACAGCCACATTCAATTTTGATTCCTAATAATTCTTAAGGTCTAACAATACTCCTCTCAAAAGATTCAGGTGAATCTTTTGAGAGGAGTATTGTTAGACCTTAAGAATTATTAGAAATCAAAATTGAATGTGGCTGTTCAGGAAGTTATTTTTTTATTAGCCATTTTTTATTAGCCATTAGTGTTTTTAATATTAACATTTAGTAACAGTTATTAAATATTTAGTAGCAGTTATTTCATATTTTTGATAATAGCTTGATACAAAATTCTAAACATTACCCCAAAGGATACAAGACTCATAATTCTAAATAAATAGAGAAATCAGGAAATAAATCATAATAATTACCAAGTAATATGAAAACTAATATTAGGAGAGAATATAAAACTAAATTTTTTAAAATTAATCTTATGAAATAAACTGTGATACTCTAACATAGTAACATGATATTCTAGGATAGTTTCATATATTTTAATTGAGGTGAGTGAACCTAACGTACCAGGTTGATTCTAGCTCCAACAAGCGTAACCCAATTCCATGCTCTAACAATTTGAACCTTGTAATTTGTCATTTTCTTCATCAATTTTGAATTTGTTATGCTCTTTTCGTGGTTGCTGAGCTATGTTTTTATCTTGTGACTTGTGAATTTGTCCATCAATTTTGAATTGTGATGTTATTTTGTGTTATGGAATGGTCTAGATTTATTTGTTGCTTGTGGAATATTTCGATTTTCTTTTTGGTTTGATTTATAACTTGGTTTGAATAATGAATATTTACTAAGTTCATAATATTAAATTGTGTGAAGATAGTACAATAGATGTTTTAAACATTAATTTGGTATTAGGTAAACACTTGCAACTTTTCAAAACAAGTCTACGGAAATTCCAAAATCTTTGACAACCTTGTACCCCCATATACTTTTGAAATATTGTACAGTTTTTTTGATTGTTTGTAGCTTATGCAATCCTGATTGTTTGTGAGAGATCACCTAGCATGTATTTACAATAAGTGGGGTTCTGGGCATGGTAGTCAAATTACAAGTTTCATCATAAGATTGCAGGATCTTAGTATTTTTAACACCTTTAACGAATGATTCAGCATTGACCTCTATGCCAACAAAATTACTGCTGTTATTATGTGCTTTCCATACAAATTAACAAAAATGGATTATTTTATGTTCAATTCTTACCATATTTTGTTGTGGCAATTGAATTTTAGGGGCTGTGTAGAACAGTGCGAGAAATCTGGATGTGTAGGGGCTAGGTGTTTTCAACATTGTAAATTCTCATCAGATGGAAAACCGATTGATGGTCCGTGGTATATGCATGAACCACTTTACCTGGAATGGAAACAATGGGACTGTCGCACTGATTGTCGGTATCACTGCATGCTAGTTAGAGAGGAAGAAAGAACGAAACTTGGTGAAACGCCTGTCAAGTATCATGGAAAATGGCCATTTAGGCGCATTTATGGGATTCAGGTTCTTTCAAGAATATCCTATTAAAGGTTCAAGAGTAAGTATGCTAATTTGGTGGTTTTGGTTTCTGATTGTAGCATGGATGTATGTTTCAGGAACCTGTGGCTGTTGCTCTGTCTGCTCTTAATCTTGCTATGCAGTTTCATGGCTGGGTATCCTTCTTCATTCTTGTTTACTACAAGTTGCCTCTGAGGCCAGATAAAAAGGCTTATTATGAGTACACCGGCTTGTGGCATATTTATGGGATTCTATCAATGAATGCATGGTTGTGGAGTGCTGTTTTTCATAGTAGGTAAGTTGTTCACTTTATTTGTTCTTATTGTAGTCTGGGCTGTATGCCTCCATATATTAAAGGAAAAATATATCATGCCGTCTTTTAAGTTGTTTAACTGTACCCGGTTAGTCCTTTATGGATTTTTGTCCCACGAATGTATGTCCTATAAGTTTTATTACATGCACACTATTACCTTTTTTCACATATTCCGTTGTAAAAATACATGTGTCGGTTATGTTACTGATGCAGCATGAATGAGGTTTCCAACTTATCCTCGTGTACCACTTTTCCATCTCTTAAGTGTAACGCTTGCCCATTTTAGAATTAGGTTAAACGATTTGAGACAAAGACTGCACAAGAGAGAAGAATAATATGCTACGTAGCCCTAGAGGTATTCATTATCCAATGTATGAAAACCCCAGGATAACTCGTCCATTCCTCTTATCTCACGTACAATATTTGACCCAAATCATTTAACCCGATTCTAGAATGGACAGGAGGTACATGTAGGATAAGTGGCCAACCCTGTTAATTAGCAGGCATCTGTATTTTTGTAACATAATGTGTGAAAAGGGCAACAGTGTGCATGCAATGGGATAACAAAAACTTAAAATACTAATTTGGTACAATTAAATATCTTAAAGGAACATATGATGTATTTTACCTATGTTATGGTTCAGGATTGATGTACTAACTCAAACCTCGGTTGTCGTTTCTTTGTGGTCTGTAATATCGGTTTTCTTTGTATAGTATGTTTAACATAAAAAAAAAGGAAGTTTGACATCACAATCATACACAAATCATCTTACATCACAATCATGCATAATGTAGTGACTCGCAAGGCATTTACATAAAATGATGTATTTCCTAAATATGGATTTATCTTTGATTTCTATTTTGATGTGTATTTCAATCTTTTATCATCTGTAGAGCTGTGGAATTAACAGAGAAGCTGAATTATTCTTCTGCCGTGGCCTTACTTGGATTTTCCCTCATTCTAGCAATACTCCGAGCTTTTAATGTGAGGGATGAGGCTACAAGAGTCATGGTTTCTGCTCCCTTGGTTGCTTTTGTGACAACTCATATCATGTATCTGAATTTCTACGAACTGAATTATGGTAATCTTTTAATTTGAAAATACACTGCTATTATTGTTGTTGCTGTTGTCTTTTGAGTTACACATCTTATAATTTTTATGTTCCCTACTAGATTCATGTTTTATGATTTTTATAACAGCAAGTATCCTCCATCTGAATATCTACTCGTATAATCTTTTCCAGGTTTGAACATGAAAGTTTCAATGTTGATGGCTGTTGTCCAGCTTCTTATTTGGGCATTCTGGGCTGTTGTTTCCAGCCATCCGTCACGATGGAAATTATGGACAGTGGTGGTGGGAGGAGTCCTTGCTATGATCTTAGAGACATATGACTTCCCACCTTACATGGGTTATGTTGATGCTCATGCTGTATGGAATGCAGCAAACCTTCCCCTCACATTCCTTTGGTGGAGTTATATAAGGGATGATGCTGAATTTAGAACCTCTGCTCTTCTTAAGAAGGTTAAATAGTGTTGTCGAACAATCGAAGTTGAAGGGTGGATCAGATGAAGGATATTCATATGCTTACGTTGATTTGTATATTAGAACCATTTTCCTTTTCCTCGCGGTGAACATTTCTTTAAGTGCTTATTGCGATGGTTCCATGTTTTTGAATTTGTAACTTTTGTTTTTCTCATGAATGAAGCATACTTGTTAATGTAATTTAAATTTGTCATGCCTTACACGCCTTGTAAATTTGTAACCCCTATCATTTTTTCTCTTCCTTTCTTTGGTGTAGAAAGTTGCGCTATATAACCAAACTACTTTTTACTCGACCAAAAAGTGCCAGTTACACCTCAACACAACAACTTTAATCTAAATTAGGGATGAAAGTTTTAAATCCATACCTTCAATTATGTTTGTTTTGGCTCGTTTTTTTTTAATAGCTTTTGTGGGGTTGATCGGAATGGGCAGGCACCATCGTTTGCCATTCTATTCAAAATTTCTTATCGTTGGCCACTCTAATAAAAACTTTTGATGAAAAGATCACGAAATGTTACAAAGAGAATATGAAGAAAAATAATTAGAAAAGTAGTTAGTTTATTTAACTTTATTGTTGAAATAAAAAAAAAAGGATTTTCTAAATACCCCTCATTAGAACTTAGGCCATTGAAATAAAATAAAATCTACATTATTAGCAAGGTATTTAAGGATAACAATGTCAAACAAAACAAAATTAGCTGGCGTTTTGTTTATGTTTTAGATTACCAAGTTAAGAATTATTTTTGCAGAAAATATAGAATGACTTTAAGGCCAATTTGCAGAAAATATAGAATGACTTTAAGGCCAAGTTGAAGAAGAGATAGATTGACTCTAAGGCCATGTTGAAGAAGAGATAGATTGACTCTAAGGCCAAGTTGAAGAAGAGATAGATTGACTCTAAGGCCAAGTGCATAATGGTTCTGGTCCTTCTTTTAATTGCGGTTAGTCATCTTTCAAAATATCAACTAATATTTGGCATACTTTAGACTCTTTAGATTCAGACCTAGTGCAATTACTAATGAATGAAAGCATTTTACTGGTGAGGTATAGTTTTGATGAAATTGCAGCCAAATTTCAATAGTTTTTTGTTTTTTGAATACCAAATTCCAATATAAAGATACATAGACAAATACTTTTTCATTTCAAAATTGTATATTCTCTTTTCTTGAAAAGAATACAAAAACATAATCCTTTTCAATTTACAATCTAAACAAAAATTGAACCAGACACATCAAATTTAAAAACTCCATAGTGATACCTCTTCATCTTGATAGTCTTCTACATCAATATTTTCATATTCTTGATACTCAAAACTATGAGCAGGGGACATTAGAGCCATATTCCTCCATAACTCTGGCATGTTTGTCATTCCTTCTTCCTCTTCTATACAAAACATATTCAACTTCTCTATTGCAATGGCCGGTAAAACGATGACCGGTACAGCGTTGTCAACGTCCTTAGTCATTAAAATCTTGTCTGGTCTGAAAGCCTCGGCGGCTTCTGTAGCGGCTTTTTGTATATCTTTTGTATCAGAGGTTGCAGGAATAGGGAGTCGCCACACAGAGTCTGCGAAATTGAGACAGGCGTAGCGGCCTCTCAATGCCATTGCAGCAACATCGTGGGCTCGGGCCGCCATCTCGGCCGTTGGAAAAGTCCCTAGCCAAATTCTAGTCTTCTTGTTGGGCTCCCTCATTTCACATACCCACTTATCTAAATTCCTCTTCCTCACACCTCTATACACCGGGTGGCGGGTTTCCTTGAATATCTTCCTCCCTGCCTTCTTCTTCGGGCAACTCGAGGCTAATCGGAGCTCCACGTTGGAAGCTTTTGAGGAAATGGTGTGTGAATTTGAAGAGATGTTAAACATATTTAAGAGTTTAGAAGGTTTTGAGAGAGAAAAGGGAAGTGGTGATAGAGTTTGTGTTAAGAAAGTGAAGAGTAATGTGTGTTATATATATAGGAAAACATGGTTTAAGGTAACAACAGTGTGAGAGTGTTTGTAAGTGTGTGTGTTTTGTGTGAGACGAGTGAGTGAGTTTGGATATTTTACAAATGTAATCAGACAGGTGGTTGGCTAGTTATTAAGGCAGTTTAGTGATTGGTCATAGATTATTTTGAAAGAGAAAGGGAAACAGATGAGAAGAGAGAGAGAGTGTGACATAAAATGAGGAACAACACTTGGCTCAAAACCAACAATGTTAATAAAATATCCTCACCTTCTTTTTTTGTTTGAAAGACATTTAACAAAATATCTAAACTGATACTGCCTCACTATATAAGGTTACTAAAGGTTTCATAAGAATGTACTATTTTTTGCTCTTCATTCCCTTTTTATTTTATAATACCTTTTGTATATATTAAGAAAAAGTATTCTAAGGAGTATACTTCTTTTGGTCCTTAATATATATATATATATATATATATATATATATATATATATATATATATATATATATATATATATATATATATATATATATATATATATATATATATATATATATATATATATATATATATATATATATATATATATATATATATATATATATATATATATATATATATATATATATATATATATATATATATATATATATATATATATATATATATATATATATATATATATATATATATATATATATATATATATAAACACTTATATTCATATTTTTAGAATTAATGAAAAATGTGTTGTTATTTTAAATTTAATTTTTTTAATTGAAATCATGAGGTAGTAGTGATAACGAAGAAATTTTTTTTTAATTAATAAAAAATTGCGATTGATAGTGTGTAATGTTACACATTTCCTATGTAAATATTTTTCATATATATATATATATATATATATATATATATATATATATATATATATATATATATATATATATATATATATATATATATATATATATATATATATATATATATATATATATATATATATATATATATATATATATATATATATATATATATATATATATATATATATATATATATATATTCATTTTCCATTACATTGAATAATATTCATGTTCTGGTTTATAACCCGATTTCACCACAGTGATAACAAATTAATGAATGATAATTAGATGGTGGTGTTTGGTCGGAATGTTTGTCTTTAACTATAGTAGAAAGAGTGTACTTATAAATACTTAGACACTCAAATTAATATGTGTTTAAGGTAGCTATAAAGCATATACTTTGACAGGTGTTGTTATGAAACTTATATAGTCTTGAAGATGTGATACTGGGTTTGAGCCAACCTTAAGTCCAATCCATGGTAGTTTTCTCTACATCATCATTTGTAGCTGATGAAGTTCCTTTTTGAGGGTAACACTTAAACATGTAAAATTTTCTTTTGTGAGGTCGTAGTTGGTTGTCTTGTCGTCCTTTTACTCATGGTCATATTTGATTGATTATGAGTCTCTTGTTATGATTTATTGTCAAATGAGTATGTTTTATTGTAGGTTGGACCGATGATGGAGTTGACTTATGAGCATACTCATTTTGTATTTAATGTGTTTTTAAACTCGTGTCAGCATCTTGGATGAAACATGACTCTTGAAGGTTATGATTTGATATTGATTCCACATTAGGTGTTATTTACATAGTATAATCTCTAAGAGGATTTCATAGGCCAAATGTAAATGTTCCATTCTCCCCCAAGTAGGAATCCTTAGATTGAGATGGAGACGATGTCATTACTCTCAAAAACTCAGTATAGGCTGAGATATGGAGCATACTGAATAAAGTTGAAAGCCAAAATTCTCATCCAACCAAGCATATGACCTTAGAGGGAGAATCCAACTTATTGAAGTTAATGGTTTGAATTCTCACTCAATCAAGTGTAGAAGTTTTGAAAGGGAGTCTAGTTTACCGAGGATGAGGGGGCAAAGTTGTCATTCAACTGGGCGTAGGAATTTAGAAGGAGAGCCATGCTTGTTAAAGTTGAGGGCCAAAATTCCCACTCAACCAAACATAAAAGGTTGGAAGGGAAACCCGACTTACAATCCTACTTAAGTGTTAGCATACTATTATTATTATTGATCTAATTGTAGCCATACATGTGTACAGTTAGTTACATTAGTTTGTTTGATAGTTATTAACTGATGTATATATTGGATATTTGATGACTTCTCGGAAAGTGTACCGATAATGTCACAAGAATAAAAAATATCGAATCTACATGTACTTCTATTTAACAAGATAATATTGTGTAATGCGTAGAAAATACTAAATTGGGTGGGGGATTCGAGTTTTAATTGCGAAAAGAAAATAAAGTGTTTTGAAAAATTTACGAAAGCGGTCAGGTTGTGTATAGAATCTTTTATTTATCTATTGTTGATGTTCGATGTATTACATGAATGATATCATCACTATAATTCCACGACGAATTAACAAAACCGCTATACCCAATTGTCGCAACGCGAAAAACAACCGGCAAAAAAAACAGAAGAGTCGCCACCGAACATTATTTATCCCGACGAAGGGAAATTAAACGATCGAAGAAAACCTCAAAGAAGGGAGAAGACATGGTCTCACAACCAAATCCTGGGTTCGGGAGTCGATTACGCGAGAGCAAGGTATTAACACCCCCTTGCGTCCGTTGTACCCAACGTGATCCATGATTGTTGTCTAATCAAAGGGTGTGTTATCTAAAGCCTAATTGCTAAATAGAAACAAAAAGGGAAAAAACAAAAGGATAATCGATAGGACTTCGCCGTCCTAGGCCTACATATTCCCTCGTACAATGGAAAAGTCAGAGTCAATGTAGTTTTGAAGACTACTGGTGGATGGGGGAAGGTTGCTCGCCAAGACATCACCATCTTGTGCCTACGTATCCTCATTTAGATGAGAATGAGGAAGTCAGAGCGGTCGTAGTTTGACATGCACAACCACAAATTGGTTAAGTGTTTTTTATGAGCAACGTAAAGTTCACGTTCCAGCAGTCAGGGTCGATGCCTATTTGCGGTAGAACGGAAATAACATACTCTTTCTGAAAATAATTTAACACCAATCCCGAAGGATAAAAAGATTTGCATTTTGTTTGTGATTTTTAGACATAAGTGAGTTGACTTTATTTGAAACTCGATTCACACTAAAGTGTATGACATAAGATCGAATGCTCTGTCTAACACCCTACTAAAACCCGCAGAATAAATATAAATGATCAGAGTAATTATCATGCATCTCAAAGAAGGGTGTCACATATATTTGTCGCTACTGCAAAAATCGAAGGCCGACAATGACAGAAGAGTTACCACCGCGCGTTATTTATCCCAAGAGAGGGAAAGGAAACGCTCAGAGAAAACCTGACGAAAAGAAGGATAAGATCGGTCATCGCAACCAAATCTCGGGTTCGGGAGTCGGTTACGCAAGGGAAAGATATTAGCACCCCTCACGTCCGTCGTACTCGACGGGATCCACGCTTGTTGTCTATCTAAAAGGGTGATTGAAACTATCTAACTACAGGCTTGAGGGTAAAAGAAAAAGAAATGACTCGGCAAAGCAACGACGCTTTGTGCCTACGTATCTCATCTGAAATGAGAAGTCAGAGTCAACGTAGTTCGACTAACTACGGGTGAAAGGGGGGAAGGTCGCTCGCCAAGACATCGCGTCTTGTACCTACGTACTTTCATCTGGTATGAAAGATCAGAGCAAATGTAGTTCAGGCTACTACGGGGAACACAAGTTTGTCCAACTTGTTTTTAAACGAGTAGGGTTAATAAGTAGTTCTAGCAGTTTGGTGTATGCGGCTCGAGCATGGGAGACTTAGGCATTACCGTTTGCAATAGAACTAAGAGTTAACAACACTCTTGTTATGAAAATGATTTCTCAAAGGTTAAAGGACCCAAAGGGAAAAAAGAAGTTTGAATGATTGTTTTTGTGTTTTTTAGAGAAGAAGTGTTTTTGAATTTGTTTGTAATTCATATCGCACTAGAGACTGTGACTTAGGAGTGAATGTGTCGCATATCACCCAAAGGGTGCTATACTAAACAATCAAGCCATTGAAAGGAAACCCTTCAACAACCATTTCCCAAATAGCTTAAGGCTCGTAACATACAATATTCATTAACCTTTATTAGGTGTTTTGGATTGTTTAGGAGATGAGAAAAGGAAGACACAAACTAAGGGGAAACTGAACCCTAAAGTTGTCATGCATAATGCTTCTAAAGTTGGGATGAAAGGGGAATGAAACTATCCTAATGTTGTCATACCTGGTTAAGATCCTAATGTCTATCATAACCTCTCTTGAACAAGAGAGATTAGAGGTCTTAAGGGAAAAGAGACAATAGAGGAAACAAGAACAACATAAACAATGTAAGAATGCAAACATGGATTGAGGGAGGAAATTGTTGTGGGGCAATAGCCTCTACAAGCTCATCTCAACCTCAAACAACAATATGGAGTATGCAATAGAAGAAAGGACAAGCAAATGCACCAATGAAAACAAACAAGTGGACTAAAATGGGATGAAATGGCCTAAACCAAACAACATCAACCATAAGGCACAAAACAAAATACAAATGAAATATAAACAAGACCTAAGGCAAAGTGAGGATGGGAGATCATGTGAGGACAGCAAGGAACTCACAATAGACACTCAACCATGAGCATCACAAGCAAAATACAAAGAAGCACAAAGAAATCACCAAGAAAAGTCCTCAAGGATTCCATCATTCTAGGTATGCTTCAAGTACCTCCAAAGGAGAGACCGAGCCACCTTAAATGACATTCCTAGGTCATTGGACAGCAAGGGACATAAACTAAAAGCTCTCAAAAGCCAAAGAAAAACAAAGCACAAAGGAGTGCAAGTCAATTCCCAAAGGGAAGCACACATGTTTCACAAAGAAACCC